TCACCCACTGGGGTTTTTATTAATGTCTAAAGACGATTAAGATTACAAAGTGTTCAAGCAGCTAACAAGAATAAGGGTACTTTAAAATGCACCTGATTGTAGGATGAGCGGATTTAGAAATGCCTGACGCCAATCAAATCCAGTCGGTACTGTTAGCGTCAATGATGTCAAGTGAAATGCATATTAATATGTTAGAGATAACCACCATATCAATAATCAGATTGATAATAACAGTGGGGAAAATTGAGCGACTCAATGACCTCATAGTCACATAGAGGGATTTGCGATAGGCTTACTTCCACATGGTGCACCCTGGGCAACGTATACTCACATGGCAAAAAAGTCTATAAACCGGCAGTTGATTTCCGACTTCAAACTACCATGATCCCGCTGTATGTCATATTCCACCACTTCCACTATACCCATCTTACCTTTTCTCTGCCTTTGTGTCTGTTTGTCTCTTTTACATCTGTGAATTCCTCTTCTATTCCCCCTCCACTCTCGAATTTTTCTCACTTCGATGTTCCCCCTCCCCTCTGTGAAGCCTGAAGTCAGCTAAAGCGCTAATGATAACTATCAAAACATCTGCCATTTGATATAAATAAATAAATATTCACTTAGAGGCCACTTTAATACACTTTTGAGATCACTTGAGCTATCGGGTGAACGTCTTGAATTTCATCACCAAGCAATCATCTCTTATCTAGTGAAATTGAACCGATTGAGGTTTATGAGATTAATGACAAGAAAAGAATTCGTATTAATAAAAATTTACTCCGTATTCATTTGACTTCCTGCACTGTTGGAATACGAAATTTCCTTCGAAATAAAAGCATGATTTTAGATGAGGTATTACGGATAAATCAAGCAAATACATGTCTACTTGTAGCGTTCAACCTTGGTTTGACAAGCACTAATGTAAACTCTACTTTCTAATCCTCGAAATTCCAGTGTCTGAAGAAATAGTGTAAATGAGTGTGACATTTTGGAATAATATTACGTTGGCAACTAAGTCATTGCCGATTTCAAATAAGGCAAATTCGGAATTTTTGTTTAAAACTATAACTTTATTCAATTAGATATTGGCCGTTCTTGTCGATGACCTTTTTCCATCGTTCTGGCAGAGTAAAAATTCACCGTTCGTAAAATGTCTGGTCTTTCCTATTATAAAACTGAATTAGGTGTGATCCGACATCATCCGCGTTGTTAACAATTTTACCATTTAAAGAGTTTTGCATGGAACGAAACAAATGGTAATCCGAAGGCGCAAGGTCAGGGCTATATGGTGGGTGTGACAAAACATCCCAACCCAGTTCCAATAATTTTTGCTGAGTAACCAAAGATGTGTGGGGCCTTGCGTTATCATGATGGAAAACAACACCCTTCCGATTTGATAATGCCGGCCGCTTATCTTCAATTGCATCCTTCAGTTTTTCGAATTCTTCAACATACACATTTGAATTTATCGTTTGGTTCTGCGGCATGAGTTCAAAATACAAAATTCCTTTGTGATCCCACCAGACTGACAGCATAATCTTTTTTTGGTGAATCTCTGCTGCTTTTAATACTGTTTGGGCTGGTTGATCTTGCTTCACCCATGATCTCTTGCGAGTAACATTGTTATAAACTATCCACTTTTCGTNGCGAATCACAGATGCTAATCCGTTGCGTCAAATGAATTTCCTTTAACTGGTGAGGGATCCATAAATCAAGTTTCTTGACATAACCAAGGGTTTTTCATTTTTTTCAATGCATGTATGCGACACATTGAGCTTCTCTGCAATATCTCGTGTTGTGCTGTGACGAATTGAATCGATAATGGCCTTGATATGGGTTTCATCCACTTCGACTGGGCGGCCAGATCGTTGTGAATTTTTCCGTGAAAAATCACCGGAACGAAATCTTTCAAACCAATTTCGACACTGCCTTTCTTTTAAGGCTTCATCTCCATATACGGCACATAACTTCTTCTTTTGTGCTTGCGATGCGTTCTTGCCTTTTCGGAAGTAATACAATAAAATGTGTCGGAAGTGCACGTCCTGTTCTTTCATTTTTAAATTGGGATAAAAACAAAGCTAAAGAACTAAACAAAAAAATTTTTTACTAATTAACCTAGAAGCCCATACAGTGAGAAAAAAATATGGGTTAGATGCTCTGGCCACGTTAACAAAACAAAAGAAAGTATAGAGTGAATCTGTCAACAAAAACGGCAATGACTTAGTTGCCAACCCAATAGGTGAGCAAAGTATTGATTAACCTACCGATACTTTCGGGGAGATTCGCTTATAACCCAAAATGCCCACCTTAAGAGTCTCTTTTTTTTTAATAAACTGAGAGATTTACGGAAAGGAAATACTGAGCCATTCCATCTCTCATAGCAATTGTAAAACATCGGAATTCCTGCAGTGACTTCCACTCAGGATAAATAGTTGTCCTGGCACATTCAATTTGGTTGACGCCTTCTTGATTACTTTGGGCTACGTACTCTCGCTGAAGTTGGAGCGGCTTCAAAGCTCAGAGGAGGGATTAATATGCAAACAAAGCATTCATGTTACCAAGACCCCTTGGCGCATGTGACTAAGTTGCAATGACTTAATCAACTTCCTCTGCGTCCGCACTGCACTCTAAAAAGCAAACCAAAATACTGATTTCACTTCGAAAATACCAGCTCCATCGCATCCAACACTTCATAGAGTACACATATCCGGGTGGAAAGACAGCGTGATTAGGAGTAGGAAAAGAAGCAACCACAATTTTTTGTAGTACTTACGAGTGGATAAGTGGGAGTTAGTGACAATTCCTAAATCTATAACTCTTAACCTGATCCAAGCGTACCAAGAGATTGATGTTCACTTATAATTAACGGGTATTTCCAGATTACCCTCCAATGGAAACTCTAACTGTTTTCAAGAAAAATGCCCTAGAATTCTAGATTTTGAATTTCGTTGAAGTCGTAAAAATGGGTTACAAAATGTAATACTCTAGAATCCTCTCAGCAATTGAAAGGAGATAGGCTTGCGATGAACGTTGTGTCGATGGCACAAAGAACTTCTTTTGGTATCTGCAGAAATATTGAACTCAGTTTGTGTACTGTCGGAAGTCACTTATTACGAAACACACAGCATATCAAAGCGAATATTGACCTTAACTAGCACGGTGCTCTAGGCTTTATTGATGCCTTCGATTAAGATAAGACAATAATATATATATATACTATTTCCTTTCTACTATTTGTTTGTCGTGATATGAACTGATTTAAGGTAAACTATAATACAGAACATAATATTAATACTGGACTAATACCCGCATTGTAACAGATGTAAGCTAGACTGGAACTACAATATTTCTAGACGTAAACTGGAACGAACGATGCAGATGACCTATAGCTAAATTTTAGTATTTCATGTTGGTTAGCAAATAAATGAACAATGATGAGACTCACTTTTCATTCATGCATGTGTGTGTGTGAAGAAATAATAATCGATGGCCAAGTTCACAAGAGTCAAACTCTGTTCAATTCATTAAAAAATACACAAGTCTGCCCTCAATTACTTTCTATTTTTTTGTATGTTACCTACTATTGTAATAAAACTGCGATAGACTTACCTCCACGTGGTGCACCCTGGGCAACGTATACTCATATGGCAAAAAGTCTATTAATCGGCAGTTGATTTCTGATTTCAAACTACCATCACCTCACTCTATGCCATATTCGACTATTTCACAGTACTCACCTCACCTTTTTTCTACCTTTGTGTGCGTCTCTTACTTCTTTGAAACACTCTTCTGTCCCCCCTCTCGACTTTTTGTCACTTTGATGTTCCTTCTTCTCTCTGTGAAGCCTGAAGTCAACTAAAGGGCTAATGATAACCATCAAAACGCCTGCAATTTGATATAAATAAATAACATTATGCATGGCGTGGGCTGAAACGACCCAAATTATGGTTCGAGTTTTGCCTAGAAACGTACTTGTGCTATACAAATGAGGTCGTAAAATATCCAACCAAGCAACAATCATGTCATACCACACCTTTGCGATAATGATTATTCACATTTCGACTGGAGAAGTAATAAATCCCCTTTCATTTAACAATTGTAAATAGAACGTGACTTGAACAACGGGACTCTTAGCTTTCAAGGAGATAGGTAACTCTGTGCTAATGCGCGATTACAATTTCTGCGAGTAAAGCGGTGGTTGTTTAGCCAATTTCTCCCATCATGAGAGTGTCGGTAATGCTTATTCCGCAAGTAGGAAATATCTGGCATTTAATCATAGGATTTTCCTGAATTGTGGTGCCTGAGGATGTTAAGCTCAAGCGCTTTTCCAGTTTTGTGGTAAAGAATGTATGCTTGCATCCAAATATGACCTCTTAATCGAGGTCTTGCAAATCAATACTAATTAGTTAATTATGATTTACATGGCTACAATACGATCGATGTGAAAGAGCTATGTCCGTACATTGTGGGTTGGCCACGCAGTGCTCCACATGCATATTCGGCAAAAACTCAATGTCATGTAACGTGGAGAAGAGGGCTTCACGGAGTTAACAAGAGGTCAAAAAGTGTGTTTCTCATAAGAGCGTCTCTTGGATACTATCCATCTACCCTTAAGCTCCTTTAGGAAGCTTATATTCATTCGATAGTAGCAACGCTCAAGAACTGATGTTTCCCATCTCCCCAAATCAGTCCAAGATGAACACAAACTTAACAGATAACAGACGGACAACCCATCAACCAATCCTCCAACCTTAGTTACTAAGTTGCAATCTTCCTTGAATATCAATACAATTCGAAGGAGCTCCTTCGCAATCCTTTTTTTATTGGCCTAAAAAATAGTTATATCAAAGCATGGATATTACAATGGTGGAGAAATGGAAAATGGGAATACCAAGTGATGGGGCATAATTAAGAGAGCATAAAAGTAGAGATGAAGAGGAGCGTTATGGCAGTGGCATGCAGGAACAGCCCAAATTATTGAGTTAGTTAGACAAGAACCTAGTTTACTTAGCATTGACATAGCCTGTCATAATGTTAGCCAACTGGTCAAAGTACCCCGTGAATAAAGCCACCGCGTAGCCAACACTAGAAGTACAAGTTATCTCCCTGCACGAATGCATTGCCAATTGAGGACCCCCGATATCGGCAGTCATGACACCAAGATGCGAGGCTATAATTGGTCCAATGGTAGCACCGCATGGCGCATCCTGACGTGTAACAAACTCCTAAAATGAAAAAAAGAAACATATGTTTAACAAGATGCTTGACCTTACAGAGTGCACTATTGGCCAGATAGAGAAAGAGCCAGCATGGACAAGTAAAGACAGGCATTGTGAAGTACTTTCTTCTTACCTGAAGTGGTACATTAGAGCGTTTTGCGATTTCTTTTACGATAGCTGAAGTCTGGCCATTGGTTGCATACCTCTGTGTGACATTATGCTTCAAAACCAGACCTTGATGAAAGGCAGGTTTATGGGCAGGTTCATGTTTTTCCGGCCACGAAGGATGAACAGCATGCGACTGATCAGCAGACAAGAAGAAGGAACGGGCCAGTGATCGCTCAAAAAGACAACCTTCCGTTGTAGGACTAGAAGTAGTAGTGTCCATTGCGTTAGAACCGCCACAATTACTATCAGCTGTCTCAACTGCAGCTCCGTTCACAAGAGATTGAATGATTCTACGCAGAAAGTGCTCCGTAAGGACAGATGCAGCACCCTGGCAACTCTCCGAGCCAATCTCCTCATGATCATAAAGACAGACCACCCGAATATTGGGGTCATCCTTCAGGCTTGGCAGTGAATTAACTAATGCGCTCAATGACGTGAAGGCACTAAACTGATTATCCAAACGAGGTGCATGAATAAATTCGCCATGAAGCCCACCTACACAAGCTGGTTGAGTGGCAGCTAGATACAGTTCCAAGTCAACTATATCAGCTGTAGCGCACTGTAACTCCGTCGCAATTAAACGCATCAAGCCAGAAGGATGGCCTCCGATTGAATTCTCGTCATCATCACCACCGTTTAGCTAGAAAGAAAACAGACGCATAGCTCTATTCTGCTTTTTCTAAAAGGCAAGATAATTGATCGAGTTTTTAGCCTCACCTGTTCCATAACGGTAGTAGAAATGATGGGAGCTAGGTGGTTTTCCGGATCAGGAGCAAAACCAGTGTTAACATTGCGATTAAAGTGGATTGCCAGTGACGGGACACAAGCCAGCGGGCGATTAATATGTATGAGACGCTCTTCAAGGACACTGGAGTTCGGATTTCTCACAATAACTCGACCAGCGAGCGTGAGTTCCCGATCAAACCACGTGTACCAGAGACCAGCGCCATAGGTTTGAACGCCCAACTGGACAAAGCCCTCCTTGACGCGTTTAGAGATGGGCTTGAGACGCAGACAAGGGCTGTCCGTATGAGCTCCAATCATACTGAAGCCTTCGCCTGGCTTGTAGGCTCCACCAACAGCCACGGCAAAGAGGGTAGATTGGTTCTTTGTAACAAAGACGCAATCATTCGGTTGGAGATTCCACACGTCCCGCTCCAACAATTGACAAAAACCAGCCTTCTTCAGCATCTCAACTGCCGATTGAACCACTGCAAGCAGAGAGATAGAGTCACAGAGCAAGTGAAAGATCGAAAATATCTATGCGTCACAAGCAAATGCAAACACCATACTGTATTTTTTGTGGTGCTGCACCGAAGGAATGTAAAAAAGCCACCACAATTTTACCATGAGAAAGAGGCAAAAAACAAGAATGTGCACAACCAATATGACCTCAAGAAATAGTAATAAATAGAGGAATACCGAATAAACGTTAGAGAACGTCCTAATGATAAAATGGTATATCATTCTAAGCTAGAATATTATGACGCGCACGACGCTTACAATCCCTTTTGAACAAATCGATCGAATGCGTCATGATACGACGAAGTTGAGGTGTTACTTATCATTTTGTAGCGGAATCGCGAATTGATATGGATTTTGATAGCTGCTTTAGAACTACAACACAGAGAAAGCTCTAGAATTTCACCTTTAGTTGAGTCCTCTAAAATTAGAAGAAATAGACCAGAAAAAACAGGCCATTTGGAGCCACCTTAGTTCTCATTTTCTGGAATTTTGGATTATAATGCGACTAGAAATCTGAAGAAAAAGGGGGGGGGGCGTGAATGTACAAATAATCATTGCAGGTTTTACAGTTAATGATTCAGTAAAGGGAAATTTCACATGTGTCGTGACAAAGTGTCTAATAGCCTAAGTAGAATTTAGAAACTTAAACTTAGTGTTTCCACGATTGCACCTAGGAAATCAATCGCTCCTCAGCTAGACAGATACCCCCCCCCCCCCCCAAACCCATACTTGGCGTTTGTGTAGAAACAGAAGAGGGAGCCAGTAGGGATAGCGACAATAGATGATATAGATCAGTACTCGTAAGATATGACAAGTCAGAAGGAACAAGTTGGACAAATAAGTGGAGCACAATAGGCGTGTTCCCCCTATGATCACTTTATTTAACAATCCTAGGCCATTTATCAAGAGTTTGACTAATGTCTTGCCAAAAACAGGAAAAAATTTACCCTAGGTCAAGTGAAATTTAGAAAATTTTAGCAAACTGGGCACACTTATAAGTATCATAAGAAAGATTTCAAGTTGTCGCTCTGCGGTGACTTATATGATGGCTCCTGAAAACTTCACATTGACGTGCAATTGGAGATATACTCTTCCATTTGAGGGTAAAGTGGAACATGCTTTTAAAAAATGTAATTATTAACAAAGAAAGCTATAACCCCCTGAAATCATTTTCGAACCCTAAACTAAACACCAAATGAACTTTGTAGATCATCTAGAAAATGAGTCATTGCTTGAGTTAAGGCGAGTTTTGCATGGGTATAATAAAATGTGCGCAATTAATGCAGCACTAAAAGAAGTGTATATATGTATACCTTTGTCTAACTGGGGGTTTAAGGACCTAAAGAGCCAAATCGATAACTGAAATACTTCAACTACCAATTGTGATCACGGATTACGACAGAGGAAATTAAATGGAACAATCGGTAGTGCAAAATAAATCAGACGACCGTTGAGATTAAGTAACTGACTAACAGAATGGATCAACTTTTCAGCCGCAAATAATTTTGGCAAAAGGGAAGAAGAGGTGAGAAAAGAAAACACCTGCACATCCCTATTCATACAAAGTGAGCAAATTCAGGACTTAGATAGATAAATAAATAAATATCCAAGGGCGGAAATTATTTATGATTTGCATAACACGAGACAACAAATGTCCTAACTAGGACTAAAACAACCTTTAAAAACCGCTTGTCACGTGAAGAGCCTTACGAGAGAAACTCTCGAATGGACCAAATCGAACGAGATCACGTTTGTGGGAGAACACTCCTAGCCAAATGAGGTGATCATTTTCAAATGAACCCGATACACCAAAGCCCAAAATGGCACCAACTTAACATACGATAGCGGGAACAATGAGCATACAAACCCATCAAGCAATTGTGATCACAAACAGTACAATGCTAAGCGCAAGAGAGCATAACTGATTCGTACTGTCAATGCAGGTTAACAGAAACGTTGCATAAGGAACTAAGGAGCTTATCAACAGCCAACACTCCATGAGCTCACGAAACATTACAGAAGGAGGAAAAGGATGAATTTCGTAATAAAATGGAAGTTGGCAATAAGTTAATTACAAGCAATCTGATTTCCCGGACCAGAAGAACCATGACGATCATAGTGGATAGTGATAACAAGTAAGTCGGTTTCTAAACCTGACCAAAGCAACAAAGGCAGATCGGATTTAAGCCGAGTGGAACTTTAAGACGCACTACGCGCGTTCGTGCATAATTTATTCTAATGGGTATGCAGAGAAAACACCAAAAGCTACACACGGACAGCACCACAAAAAACACCATGCGTCCATTCACGCTCACAGTTAATTTTGTTAATTAACAGTCAAAAAAACATGCGCTCAGAGGTGCAGGCACAGTGGCTGAGTAGCACTCAGCACTGTACACATACATAATAGGGAGAGAGATGCTGGCTCTCACATTGGCAACTCTCGCTCATTCAAAACGTGATCCATCGCCTTGCCCTCTCTCTCTCTCTCTGCGTGTATGTTTGCGTATATGTTTTGTGCCTACGTGTGAAATTGTACATACACATGCGCATGCGGCCAGGAGGCAGAGCATGTATGTGCACTCAGCTGTAAAGTCACACACATACACACACTCACCATGAAGTGCAACAGTACTGTAGTGCAGTGACTTTAACCCCATAATCGATTTTAACTCAATTTTCCACCCACCTTCGTCCTCCGTCCTTAAGCCGTTTCCTAGTGCCTACCAAACGAGCTTTGCTCCGACAAGTTCAGGCAGTTCTCTTTTTAAAGAGTTATTGTCACATTTCCTGCCTCCTGATCTCAAGATCTTAAAAGCAACTTATCGATTTCTTCTTTTCATTACCTAGCTTTACTCTCCCGCTTAGGCACTAGTTACAAGCATTCTGCCTTCCATTTTCGTTTCTACCGCCACTGCCCAACTTCTACCATGTCGTTTTTGAGTTTTCGGCGGATAAAACATCCGGGTTGTTGCTGATAAGGTGCACCACTATTAGAGTAAGATGAAGAAGAATCAAGCTATATATTATAAACTATGGTACTCTTGCACCCTGTTCACTATGCGCTGAGTAGTGAGCACACACACACACACTTAAAAGTAGCTGCTACCTGCTGCCCACAATGAAAATCAATATCAAGGAAGGAAATATTGCTGCCTGCTTCTACTAATATTCAAAGATGATAAATACAAGGCTTACCATGGAAGGGCGTTGGTGACATATTGATGAAGCGAATGAGATCATTGGCGACTTTTTGTGAATGTGGCATACGCTGCACAAAGGAGAAGAAGAAAAGAAGGAAATATTAGTTAACAATTCACGGAAAGGAAAAATAGAACCACTATATAGCCCAACCATTCTGTCTCTCTCTCTCTTTCTCTCTCTCTCCCCCACTTACTATCGATGCGGACATAACCCCAAAGTGTGTTAGCCGAGTAGTGTGCTTACAGCAATGGCATTATCAATGACAACAGCAGCAGCAGTAGCAGCACTACAACTAGCACTACTAATAACAGGAGCATTTGTCGAGGAGTTGGCATCAGTAGTATTAGCGGAAATGAGAGAGTTGAGAATGTTCGGCAGGTTGAGTTTACTCCTCATTTCTGCAGGAATCGAAGAGAAACAACTGACCATTGGTGAGGGCGAAGGTGGCGGGAGGAATAGATCTCCAAAATTCGCTTGTCCGCGGGCAGCGAGGAGAAAACGCTGAAGGGATTCATTCAATACACTAGTATCAGAGTTGGGAAAGACTAATGGTACAGAAGTAGCGACAGTTGCGGCATTAGGAAGAGTTGGCGTCGATTGGGTCATAGTTGGCAGTAGATTGGGAGTAAGTTGGGAATTGGCGTTGTTACTATTGGAGTTGTTCTGTTGTTGAGTTGAGGCGGCATAAATTGTTGCTAAGGAACGCGCAGCATCAACATTAGAAGAATTGAGAAGTTGAGCTGCTGTAGCTGGTGCGGAATTGAAGAAAGGCGCTGTTGAAGTGATGGACTGTCCTTCCACCGTATCTGAAGTAAGTGGGGTACAAATAAAGGAAGTAGAAGATGAGGTATTCACAGCCGTGTTTCCGTTGAAGCTGTCTTCAAGCGGAGAATGTGGATCACTACTGGATAACTACAATTACAATTAAAAACGCTCCATAAGTCAAGAAGGTATCGTAAAGAAAACAGTTAAGATTAAGAGGCACTTACTTCGTTGTGTTGTTGCTTTGGCGATGGGGCCGATGAAATATGTGACAAACCACCCAAAGTTTTGAAAGAGGTCAAGGGAAAAGAGCTCCAATTATGCATAGGCACTTGAGTTGGAAGACCAGGAACATTGCTCCAGGGGCTTTCGAGTTTCGCCGTGGTAGGGTGAGCATTTCTCATCGACTCGACAGAGAGGCTGAGCAATCCTTCCCCACCTGCATGATTCAAAGACTGTTGTTGCATCGCAGAAAGTAAAGAACCTCCTCCTAAATGATTTTGATGATTGGTGGAATTTGAATTATTCGCTGCTGTTGCTGCGGCAGCTGCCGACGCAGTAGCACTTGGTCGGCATCGATTATTTGGAAGTACAATATGGTTCTTGCGGACATAATCACATAGAGAAGACTTTGCCAGGTTGTACCGCGATGCCGCTTTGCGCATTGAAATATTCTCCATTTTCACATCACGCACAGCTCTTTCAAGTAGCTCCTTTCGTTCACCTGGTTTGTGTCGTGGTCTTTTCAAGGGCGGAGATCGGGTTGCTGTTGTAGTCGTTGTAGGGGTCGAAGTTATCACAGGGTTACTTGTGGGAGCATTTGAAAAGGATTCAGTCTTGACGACCCCATCGGTACTACTATTAGTGGTAGTCGAGGTGGAATTTGAAGACGAGAGACTTAGAAGGGAAATATCACCTGAAACGTTTGCGGAAGCCATGGAAACCACAGTAGATGAGGAATCTGTTACATTACTTGAAGCTATGTCAATGGACGACGTTGAGTTCAAGCCACCGTTAGATGAAGTGTTTGGATCAATGTTCACCATGATGATTTTATTACATATGTGAGTCAAGTTCACTTTTATATGGTTGAGAGCATTCACACGTACGAACACTGATCTCGAATGCTCACAAGAAAGGTGCGACCCTATTTTTATATGAGTGCGAGTATGAAAAAACCAATGAGAGCACAGCAACAGCACACAGTATGTGTGATTGGTTGCCGGCTAAAGCTACTGGACGCTAATATTTGAGAAGCACGCACTTTTGATGTAAAATTTGATTGGTGGTGCGCTATATATGGAAATTTTCTGACTCTAATACATCACATCATATTCATAAATTCAATACAACAAAATACATTTCACCTCATTTGTATTAAGTCTAATTAACCATTTAATATTTGCCCATTCCGATGAATAGTGATCCGAATGAAATTTAAAAAAAATATTGAATTGAAAACTTGTGCTGTTAACTAGCGCATTTCGAAGATTAACCTATTACTTCGGAATTAAAATACTTCCCCTTAAATAATTCACGAAGAGTAAAAGGTTATGGAACGCAAAAAATAAGTTTGCAGGACAATGAAACAGACCAAATCAAAGTATATCAATGTGATATAGAGCTTTCAACGCCAAGAAAAGATTGCAGATTTACAATTGGACACCACCTAGGAGAATCGTGTTAGTTATTGAGACACAGCAGAGCAAGCGAACTCTGATGGCAACATACGGCTGGTTTTGTAGCATCTCACACCAAATCTGGTGTGAGACTGTAAGTCTCCCAAAAAAAGGTGACAATACAGTAGAACACTCACAAAATGCATTTGCAACTACATTCATGTTTAAATAGAGGATGTAGTAGAGGTTGTGTAAAACTCACTGTCCTAAAGCCAAATTCATTCACCATGATATCGTCAGACAGGTGGCATTAATTAAAATGAGTGCACGGATAATTCACTTAAAACCATGCACATTTGAGGTCATTTACACATCAATTAAACTGTAGAGAAATAAAAAAGGACAAACTGGAGGTCAATATAATTTTAGTAGAATGTCCATTTAAATGGGGTCAAATAGTAATTTCTTGACAAAACCTTAAATTTATGTCCATATTAGCATGGAAAAATTAAGCGTCTGCAGACACAAAGGTGAAGAGAGGACAAGAGTATCGATTTTCTCATACGATGCGAATGCGGAACAGAAAAAAGACTTCATGCCCCCCCCCCCTCATCTAATCTACGTAAAAAACATAAATTGACCGTCCGAATATAGGTTGTGGGAAAGAGAATGGAGTTTATGTCCAAATCGATAATCAATATAGAAAGGAGAGGATAAAAATGCCCATTTGCGCACTTACTGTTAACTCCGAGAGAATTTGAGACATTTCTACAATAGGGAAAAAGAACCGATTAGAATGAATGATAAAATTTTAAAATCAAGGAGCGGTAAATGCCGTATGTAGCAAAAAAAACAATATGTGAAGCTTAGTTTAACACTTACCTACTATAAAGCAGATTCATGAGGTCTCTTCAGTGAGAAACCGCACACAGAATAAATAGGCTATACCGCTATTTACTAACTATTGCCGTTTTCTCTAACCTGGTAAATGACCATTTTGAAGGCGGGATCATTGCACTGCTATTTAAAAGGGTAGGTATATGGCCATTAATCTCGGTGACCATCAAACCTGGTTGCCCCTAGTCAAAGTGAGAAATAGTAGAGTGCTTAGAGCACTTCTCCCCATGAACTTGGGATATTGTAATTAAAACATCACTTAGACTTTGTGTATATATAATGGAAGGAAAAACAATAAAAGCACCTTAATTTATCCGGTCGTATAACAAATTGTTGCCAATAGCGGGAAAAAAACTTGAAAGTATAAGGAGAAAAATTATAAGATCAATAAATAGAATGCCTTCTATATTACCCCCCCCCCCCCCCCCCCCCACCCTCCCTTTAGATAATTTCGAATCATATTGACAAACGATAGACATTTTTACGATCTCCGATTTGAACTAGTTCGTAATACAAAACGGTAATAAAATCTAAAAAGTACAAAAAGGCCAATGCTTAAATATTGCCAACAGTGTTGACTTAAGAACATGGATGTACCGAGCAATACTCTCAGTTAAAGACAAAATTTCACCTTTCTTTGTCTAATCTTTAAACTCAAAACGTACTTTAACATCGGACCTAATGGATTCTCAATTTCTAAAATAACCGACAGAAGAAATGTCTAACGCTGTCTATCTACCTACGACTTCATGTTTGACGTATTGCAGCAACACGGTGGTAGGAGTAACAGCAGTAGCCAAATAACTACAATCACACACACACACACTTGCACGATCCGTACTCTCTCATGTTCACTTATGTGTGCAAGTAGATGATGCGACGATAATGGTGAGTAGACGTGCTCAAACAAGATCTCGCTCTCACTGAATGAACGGCAACCACTCGCGCGTTCATTCCAGTCTCGCGGTGGCCTCTCTCTCTCTCTCGCTTGGTCTCCTGGATGACGTTGTCGCTCACATCACATCCAGTGTGCACAAACGAACGTCTACGTGAAATGGGTGGAGTTGCAGGTGACTAATTGCAGAGATATTACGTCGTGTGTACAAGCTCGCTCTTCTCTCTCTCTCTCTGTGTGTGTGTGTGTGTGAGTGCAGTTTAAGAAGCAGAAGACGGAGTTGAAACACCCCCCCCCCTCTTAACCCCTAGCGCCTCAACAACTAAATTACTCTTGGCCGACTATGTATGCGCAAATTTTGATGTATTTACTTTTTTTTTACTTAACTGTACATACATTTGATGGACACTTATGGTAACAACAAGAGGGTAGGGGGTCAACAATTGAGATAACTCAATTACAATAGCGCAAGTAGCTTAAACGGAGAGATGAAAAAAGAGAGAATTTGAATTCAAGACTTAACCGGATTTGACCAAGTAGCTGACAAAAGAGCGTTGTACTTGGAGAGGAAACGAAAAAAAACTGGTAGGGAAAATAACTTCACATGAAAGCGATGAGACCTGGAATCATACGTTCTTTCTTACCCTAAGATAATAAAATCGATCTAAAAGGTTAAACAAGAGGAAAATAGCATTACGACGAAACTCTCTAACAAACATTTGTAGGTGCCAAAAATTTTCGAAAAGTTAAAGCACGTGCAAATTCCAGTTGGAACCCCTAAGTTTAAGAAGTAAGGTGCTTCAGATTAACCATTACAAGATTCGTTTTAAGCTAATGAAAGTGTGGATAGAAGAATTGGTATCAACTTGCCTGATTTCAACAGACGAGGATCATAAAATGCGCCTAACATAACACATATTACGAAATAAGATGTTTTATAATGGCAACTCAAAATGACATTGATGCTACTATAAATAACTGCTTACCGATGATCATAGGGAGAGATATTGTAGCTATGGAGGCTAAAACCCACCGAAAATGCAAGGAGAATACCTTTAAGTTAGGGGACGATTACCCTCCACATTTGCAAATTGGATAATAACATTGTTTAAACATAGCTACCCGGTTAACCGTAAATATGACAATGAATTGAGTCGAATAATTGCACGGAAAACAGGAATTAAAAAAAACGAATACAATTTATATTCGTGAAATTGAGTGCATTGAATTCAGGTCAGCTAGATTATTCCCCTCTGACTCTTACAACAAATGCATTGGTGTTGGAGCTTTTTTTCATTGGTAGAGCAGATAATTGAACTTGATATTGGTCCAGTTAGTCCAACAGAAATACCAGACGCAGACACTTCCATTTTTCAAACAAGTTATACTACCAACGAATCTTAGCTTATGGTCTTTAAAGGTTGATGAAGTGATGCCACCATACAATCTCCGAATGTGCAATTTACCCTGCTATTTCACTCTCATTAAGAACTGAGTTGCAAAAGAGAGAAATATAAAAATACATAACGAGCAAAAGACCTCACCCTGTTGAAAACTAAAGCAGCACCCAGTGTTAAAGACCATGATGGACAAATCCACCACCAGAGGGTCTCCTTATCCTTCCCTCAATAAAAGCTTTCGTGAAAGTTAAATAAATTCCACCTACCACCCACCGCCACAGCCTTTTCAAATCGCATCTACGACACCAGTTTGTTTTAACTAAATGGTGGTCAGTTTAAATCCAATATGAAAATGACCCCAAATGTCTTTTTTTTTCAATGTTCAATATCTTACAATTAATCTGAGCCTGTGCCTGTTAGGCAAATTGTGGCATTTGAGTAAGAATATTACAAAGTTGGGAGCAAATATGTCCCACACACATTTGCAACTACTATTTTACCTATACAATTTTAACTATAAATATTTTTTTCAGGTATTAACACACTTGCCAAAAAAAATTTATCCGAGCGTGAATACTTAAGTTAAATAGTAATAACGAATATAGTTCCATGGAGAAAAAGACCCCAAAACATATTCAAGTAGAGAAGAGTTCGAGGTTGCTGCGACCACAAAAAAAGTTTATCTAACTCGAGACAGAGGAATGAGACTAGTACATTCAAGGAAGCCGATATATATATACGGTTAGACTTATGACTTTAAAGTACACAGCGCCAGCAAAATTAGCACTAAAATTCGGTCCAAGATAAAATCGAGCCTCCATAGAAGCCCTTACTTTCGCCTAATAATTCAGTATTTCATGCGGTTAATGGCATAAACAAAAAATGCTAAGTACAGGCCGGTTAATTACGGAGGTTCCATTATACTATTAAGTTGGCAACTAAGTCATTGCCGATTTCAAATAAGGCAAATTCGGAATTTTTGTTTAAAACTATAGCTTTATTCAATTAGATATTGGCCGTTCTTGTCGATGACCTTTTTCCATCGTTCTGGCAGAGTAAAAATTCACCGTTCGTAAAATGTCTGGTCTTTCCTATTATAAAACTGAATTAGGTGTGATCCGACATCATCCGCGTTGTTAACAATTTTACCATTTAAAGAGTTTTGCATGGAACGAAACAAATGGTAATCCGAAGGCGCAAGGTCAGGGCTATATGGTGGGTGTGACAAAACATCC